AAATTTCCTACCTCTCTTTGGGGTTATTAAACATGGTACGAAGTTGCTCTGCAGTTCAGGGAGCGAGAGAAAGGTGATGCTTGTTTATTTAAATCAGGGGGAGATGAGTTTAATTCCCGAAATTGTACAGTAATGCTTTCTCATTAAACGGATGCCTTCTGCATTAGATTTAGATGACTGTGAGGAGACGGGTAGCCTGGCTGGCTCAGAGGCTGGCAGCTCCCGCTTACTGCCTTCTGTTTTTGCTGAGGCAGGCAGAAATAGAATGTCCCAGGCAAAGGTAGACGAATGTCATCGTGCACTTACTAAGTTAATTGTTTCACAGAATCGTTAAGGAATCTAATCATTTCACAGAATCGATAAGGGAATCTGAATCGTGAAAATCTTATCAATTCCCAACCCTAAAGATTAGGAAGCTGATGTTCTCCTGGATCATCTGACCAAATTTGAGCAATTTTGCAAAGATGACCAGGCAAAAAAGAAACAATAAAAATTCTGCCTCTGAATGTGTAAAGCTGGTGGAAACCTAATTATTTGCAGCAATAAGTGCAATTAAACTGGGCTCTACAAAGCACTGACTCAGGGGGACTGAATAGAAATGCACACATCACTTTCTAGATTTTATTCCTAAAAGATATTAAAAACAATGAATATTGTGTTCTTTGGTCACACCATTATGTTCCGATTTGTCTTGAAAACATTGTGAATGTAATGAGACAAAAAAACTTTTCCAAAGCTGTTTAGTAACCATACAATGTCCAGCCTTTTCAGGATAAAAGTTTCTATGGAAACTGTGTGGTTTGTACACCTCCTAATACACACTGGAGACTAATTATCAGTAGTATTACCATGCAATGAACAAGATCTGATTTCTGCTTGTAGGTCAAGTCAATCAACTGCTAGCAACTCCAATAAGTATGAGAGCAGAGAAAAAATCAACATTGGAGCCCAGCACACCCTCCTCATTGACTCTGGATCTGAAACGGAGAGCAACATCTACGAGAGCTACACAGCGGTGAGAAAGTGGAGAGGAGTGCGTGAGGGACAGAAAAGGGCAACAGATAATAGGGAGAAACACCAGGAAAGGGATAAAGAGAGAAAGGTGCTTAGGTAGCTGGTGAAGGGATTTGGCAGCAGAGAAAATGCAGAGTTCAGGCATAACAAGGAAAAGGGATAAATAAACTGATGAAATGTTTGGTTGTGCACGGGGAGAGAGCATCAATTAATGGCTCTCAATTAGCATGCAAAATACAAACTGATCTTAGAGAAATTATGATTTTGTACTTTAAAGGGCCAAAAGGATTTAAGCCTTAAAGGAGATAATTTATTAAGGTTAAAAGAAACAGATAAAGCTATGCTGTCAGAGGGTAATCACACATACCCATGGAGGCAAACTCATCTCGGTTTGACTTGAAACATGTTTGCTTCCAGCAACTTCTGGTTTTGGCTTGTAATGGAATTGTATTTTATGCGTGCATGCACTGGGATATTATACTAACAAACTATCTGTCAATATGCCCCCCTGCAACATTTCATTGAGTGAACATTACCTCAATAACTTTATATTATCCTTAACATCTATTGGCACCTCTGGGGAGAGTTATAAAAAAATCCTAATAATGAACTATGTGTGTTTTTTTTTTTTTTTGTCCAACATAAAACTGAAAATGTGGAAAGTGTTGCCTTTGGTTTACTCTCATATACTCCAAAGTTAAAGAAAAAAATGTTTTTTGTAAAAATGTTTTTTGTAAAATTACTTAAAATTCATATGGAACTATTGCTTCTGAAGCATTTTCTAGGGTTTATCTTAGTGTAGATGACATAAAAGCCGTTACTATTTGCCACTTTTCAAAGGGAAAGACAGGCCGATCTGTGAAGCAGATGTGTGTCAGTTGCAAATTAAATCCCATTTGTCTGTGGCCAAATGGGCATAGGTCGTTATTTGGTTTTGAGGATAATACTTGGAACATATTTATTTAGATAGTCTATTTCACTCAGTGAATGAAATCAACATATCAATACTGCATTTTACTCAGGTTATCTTATTTTACATTTAGAATGTTTTGGGGGAAAAAAAAAAAAATAAAAAATAAAAAATATATATATATATATATATATTTAAAAGTTGAACACTAAAAACCGTTAAATATTAAAAGCAGTTTTTTGATCATTTAATGGGGAAAATTCTTATTTTTGTATTCTGGGTTCTCCTTGTTCTGCTAAACAATAAAGTACATGAACATGTACCCCCCCCACACACACACACACACACACACACACACACACACACACACACACACACACACACACACACACACACACACACACACACACAACGCACAACCATGAACTTTGTATTTAAATGCTTTGTGAAGGAGGTTGCATAACCTGGTTGCTTATCCAATCTCTCCTCTGATTCCCAAGTTTCAGGAAGACTCCCGTTATTATTATCCTGCTGGTGATTACAAACCTTCCATGAGTCCACGCCCTGGAGAAAGAAGAGGCCTCGGTGAGATACAAATTTTATTTAAAGAAGGCCCTGGTTAACACCTTATATTTAAAAAAGATGAGCCAGTGAGGCCTCACTGATACAAACAAAGGTTATTTTGTTCTGAAAATTGTAACAATCAATATTTATGTTGTGATCCATATTCATATTGTGAATTTGTATGTTTTTTTAAGGAGTCATTGCTGAGAACTTTGAAAGCCATTTGTATGAAGAAGTGGGAGATAGAAGAGTGTACCAGGACATTACTCCCTACCCTCCCTTTTTCTCTGAGCGCAGACAAACCCAGCAAATGGAGGACTTGAAGTCATCAACATTCCCTGAGGTCTCTGAAAAATCAGTTTAAAACAATTAAATCAATACATTAAATTAAATAATGTAGCAATTGGAATGAGCCTTGTAAAGGCATTATTGTCCTCACATTTCTTGCGTTATGCCTTCTTTTCCACTATTTTTCAGATTATAAAACAACTTTATTTTACAGACTATAGAGTGCACCTCACTACAAGCTGCGCCCACTAAATGTTTTGAAAAAACTGGAAACATACAAATTTAAGCTGCTGATATCTACTGAACTGTCCCCCAACAAACCTGTAGGGTGAGCTCTAGATATAGCCCCTGGAGAAGGGACGAAGAAGAATGCTGGCTCCTGTTACCTTGTTAGCTCACAGCAGTAAGCGCTTCCACTGAAAGATTGGGCTTCGTCTGCTCTTTATTTAATCTCTGCAGGAGTTTAACCCAGTCTCTTCAGTACTGCTACCATGATCTTGTGCAAAATAAAAATTAGGCCCTTAGGCCCAGTCCCATTTCTCTCACTTGCACTCTTTTTGGACCCTCGGTTTTGCGCATTCACGAGTTTAGTGTGTCCCAATAGTTTTTAGAGCTAGAGAGAAGTGCCCTCCAACCCTTTAAATTATCCCTTCAGACCAAGTGAGGTGGGGAGCTGACTTCGGAATGGAGTGGCTTCACAGAACTCATTCAGTGAAGTTGTTGAAAAGAACTGCACAAATGTAAATTCATTTTTGAAGTTAACCGCGCATTTTTTTTTAAATATCTCAGGATATCTTAGTTGGACCTAAATACAACAGAATTCCTTACTTTTGAGTTAAAACATTAATATTGCAAAATTGCTATTTCTCGTAATACACAAATCTACCGAGAGTTTTTTTTTGTTTTTTTGTAAAGTAGGATGATTATGACCGAGGTGGGGTTGGTCGGAGGTTGGATGTTCGGGTTCCGCGGGGTCAGCGGGATCTAGCTCACGGTCGATCCAATTGAGGGACTCCGATTTCGACCAGCATCTCTCAGCACTTTCCGGAGTGGCTGAGAAATGCTGGTCGAAATCGGAGTCCTGATTGGAGTGATATGAAATGGATTTGTCCAAATAGCTCGCCAAACTTGACCTGTCGAGTAGAAATTCTCAACCGAGGCATCAGTGAGATAACCTGACAACAGCCAGATGCATGTCTCACTCCGCCTAGCTCCGCTCGAGACATGCATCTGGCTGTTGTCAGGTTATCAGTGAGAAGCCTGACCTGTGCTTTCAGTGTGCCATCACATGAAAGATTCTCACAAAACACTCTGGTCTTGGTTCTCTCTTCTGAGTCCTTCCTCTTCTTCTCATACACTTTTTCTCTTATGACCCTCAAAGGAAAGCAGGGAAAAAGGTGAGTTTCAATGACTGTCTGAAACCATAGTTCACCACAAATACCGTATATGCCTGAAAGCGTGCATGCGCAGAAAAATATAGCTAACTGGAGACAAGCATGTAAGACGGCCTTATGTGAACATATCACCAGAAGGCTGGACAATTAGGAGGACCACTTACTTTGATGATCCATCCAGAAAAGGAAAATCCTAAAATATACTCCTAATCTAGTCTAATATTTAGATTAGTTTGTTAGATAATTTGAAGTATTTTTAGTACTAATGTACTATATGCAAGTGACTCTAATCTGGATGTAATCTTCTCTTCACAGAAACCCGGCCAGTTTATGGATCATCAACATCCAGAGAGGGATTATGATCTGCCCTTCGAATTGAGAGGAGAATTAGTCTAGAGTGGGACAATGACATCAATTCAACCACTTCTTCAACCCCATGCATTTAGGAAAATTTTGTAAAGGATTATTCACTTGTCTTAATTATTTTGTATCTTCTCAGGCTTGATTCAATTAACATATAAAATGAGTTGATTAAGAGAAAAATACAAGATATTTGATTGATTTATGTTATCATTACTGCCATTTTTTTTGCCTTACTTTTTCTCCCTAAAGGAATAATTGATCTAATGTACAGGGTTTCATTTTACTCTGGCCCTGAACAAAAGGAAGTGAGGCTGTTACAATGATTTGCAAAACAAACAACAACAACAAAAAAAACAATGAAAGCTTCTGTCGCCTCGATGCAGTCAGGAATGTCAAAATGATAGAATTCCCTTTCCCTCAATACAGATACCAATAGCATACTATAAGCTTATTTTTCACTTTTATTCCCCTTTTCAAGGCCCCTTTCACCTTGTGAGTCTTTCTTTGAACCGAGTCATGGTCTCTAGCCAGAGCCCCCCCACCCCTCTCCTGCTTGCCTGCAGGTAGACATAAATCAGCCGGTTAGAGACAGAAATGAACTGACATGTTTGCGGTTGGCACTGGAGCAGAAGCAACAAAGGCTCATGGTGCCACCCAAGCAGACATCATCCTTTTGACCCATCTGACATTAACATTTTCCAGTGTGTATCCAGATGAGAACCTGATGACAGCGCCTTCCCTTCCTCTCTCCCCCCCATTGACTACAAAGACTTTCAGATCTGACAGCTGGTCTTATGGAGTCACTATAATGGGATCGTATTGAGCAGTATTTAACACAATTATGCTTTAAGAAGAGATAAGCCATATCTGTGACCAAACCTTATATAAGTGTTTTTTTTATTTTACTTGGGTACTGGTATAGTGGAGAAAGCAAACCTGTTGAATTATTTGGATTAAAGCATACTCATGTGTTGATTGGCCCCACCTAAATCCAGACAGTATCCATAACAGCCTGGCTATACTTTAACCAGGAAAAAAAAGAGAATACAGTAATTTGGAAACATTGATTCTCTAAAATAAGCTAGAAGGGACTTATACCAAAAGCCTGGCATTTATAATCTGGCTTCCACAAAGTTTTGACCTAGTATACTCATATTTGTCTTCTTTTTAATCTTTACAAATTCCCTTTTAAAATAAATAACGTATTAGTGCAGCAAGGACTCCCTAAACGGTGGAGCATCAGTCCTTTTAACAAGCTGGCTCAGGCCTCAGCATGAATGATGTTCCTTTTATAAGACCTCAGGTGTACCATACTCACTACCGTTCTCATTTCTAACAGCAGATGTCACTTCAGAGAATAACTACCTACCCACAATCTGCAAGTAGTAGCAAGGTGGGACATTTAGAGGGAGCTTTCTGATGTAGAACAATCGTTTTAAATTATGAAACATTTTGCACAAAATATTACTTTAGTAATTATGTCAACACATTTGCATGTGAAGTCACAAAATAAAGTAGCAAAATTCAATTGAACAACTCCTACAGAACATACACCTCCATTCGGGCCCCTCGGTTTTCAGCCTTATTTTGGAAGTCCATAGAGCTCCAAAGATAAATATAATAATAAATTTCTTTTAAGCAGCCCTAATGTCTGCTTGATAGTTAAACCCAATGTACTATATATATTTCACCACCTGTAACAAATCTTGACTGACTGGTGATCTTCAGTAGTACAGTAGTGTGCAGTTTTGACTCTAATGACTCTCATTTAAAGAGTGGGAACAGACAGAATGCAGAAAAAAGCAAGCAGGTAAAAAGAAAACAAACAAGGCAGGCTGTTTTTTGCAGGAGCCAGAGGAGTGGTGGAGGGGGATTGTGAGGGAATAATAAATGGCCTCCTTGGGATAACAAAGACAGAGACATGCACCAATATCCTGATGAGAAATTAAAGGATTATAAAGCTATTTTTTAGTTTGTTTTTCCCTTTTCTTCTAAGCCATGTGAGATCCAAATTTGGACTCACACATATGGATTAGTATATTTAGACCTGAAGCGGTGTTGGTCATGACCACACTGCCACTGTCATGGTTACCAGCCTGCGCTGGACCTCCCTCAGCAAATATTTCTGGTGCGGAGCTGAAACAAAGCGGAAATGGATTGAGGAGGGCTGAACAAATTATGATGATTTGTTCAATGTCCTTTCTAATTTCTGCCAAAACTTACATATGTTTAATTATCAGCATGTTTTTTTTTAACAGAAAATGAAGATGTTTTTTATAAGTGTATAAATGTTTCAAATTGGATGTGTTCTGTGGCCCCTTAAGGTTGTTTACTTTATATATTATTGGCTATAACTGAGGACTATAGTTACACTAGGAACCAACTGAGCTGTAAATCATTTGGGGGGGCTGCCTTTGTTTGTAACACATTTATAATTAGCTGTCTATATTTACAGCTTTTATTTTTTTTAAAGCATTCTTTAAAGTCTTGCAAGTAAATCAGCACACAATCATGTCTTTTTTTTTCTGAGTGTGTCTGCATGTCTCCAGATGTATGCAATATTTTAGGTAAAATATTTACAAACTGTTATTATTATTAAAATATTATTAATTATTGGTGAGGTAAATCTCTTGTTTTATAGTCTGGCTTGGTATTCTCTATCATCAGTCGCAAAGGTGCGTTTGTCTCATTACTGAACAACTGTTTAAGTTCCTTTCTAACTGAGTTCTGTTTTCATACCAAAGCCTTCATAATGCTTCATTTCAGCTCAGGCATGAACACTAATCTGCTAGACTGATACCTTGACAGCTCAATACTGCTTGTCACATTCTATTTTATCTCACTCGCCTCATGAACATTTTCATATGTTGCTTTCAGGGGAATCTCGAGGGAGCTCAGAGAAGCAGTGAGAAACATTAAGAGAAAACCAAACAGTATTCAATTACGTTAAAGAATATTTTCCTGTGTGATTCTGTCTGATTTAATACTCTCCTTAAAGTAATAATCTATGTAACTTAAGCAGCTTGTGCAACCTGTTAATGATGCTATAAAATATGCTAAATATTTGTAAATCTGGTCCTTGTTTTTATTTTTTTCAACTGGATCCATGCAAGGATCATATAAAGACCAATCAGGCATTTTATTGGCTATACTACACCACTTTCAGTTTGAATTTTGAAAATTGATAAATTCACTAGTAGATTTTGAATGAAAATGCTTTGTTAGTGTTTCATAAACTGAAAGGTCAGCTGTTGCTCAGACATTCTTATATATAGATTTATAAGATTTTAGCAAGGCCATGTTTTTTTCTTTGAAAGAAAAGGTTTTTATGCTTCATCCCAACTCTAGACATATGTAGTGTATAGTACTATTTTTTGAATAAAATAATAAAAATCAGTCAGTGTAAAAAAAATAGTCCTGCCACTAAACTTTAAACCTAAAAAGAATGAATGCTGGATTTGAGTCAAAAGGTTATGTGACAGAGTATTGGATTTTTTTGTGTATTTCAGCCTTTTAGATATGTAAATAAAAAAATAAAAACTATTATTTGTCAGTTTAACTTAACACTTCTATGTAAGTATCTCATACTGGAAGTGGCAAAATATGGAAATAATTTCGTTGTTTTTTTTTACTATAAAACTCTTACTATAAAAATACTTTATACATAAATTTGTAGCTTTTCAGCTAGGAAGATAAGGGCATTTTGCATCACCAGTTAGTAAACTGAAAATGAATCAATAAAATTTTGCATTTTTTCATTCAGGTTTTAGCATTTAACAGACCTACAAATCCGTTCAGCAAATTATTGTTCATGCAATCTTTATGATGTCCAGAGTTAATGATGACCACTAATAGAATGGACTAAGAAAGAAGCCACCGGCCAAAAAGATTTCATAGCAGAGTAGCATCATTAGGTTAAGATTTAGTGGTTTATACTCATCTGGTGTCATATTTATAAGGATTGAGTAAGCAAAAAACAGGACCTGACACTCGCATACGCCAACTATCCCAAAAAGAAGGCTGAAAATGAAAATATACAACCATTTCAAATTTTAATCCTACAACTGTAAATCCGACTTTAAAACGTGCTTTGTAATTACACATTTCTTATTTTATTTTTAAATACAAAAAATTGAAAATGCATTAAATCCTATTTCTAAATGGATATTTAAAAAATAAATAAATACCTGTCCTTATCATATAACATTCAAAAAAGGCTATTCCTCCTCTAGTTCCAGGGTATTTCAGTTTTGGGGATGATGTATTTCTGCTGGCTTCCTTCTGCAAAGACCTAAAACACTGGTACTGGGGTGGTTCACTGAGCGCAAAGCAGTCAGGATAATGATCAGCTCCCACATGTTAGGGGTAATGCTTCTTGTACTTAGGAAATTACACATAGACAATACTTAAACATTTGCTGGACCAAAGACAGTTACTGAAAAATGCAACCATTTACCTAAATTTGTGAAAGACACATTTTCTCTATTGATATCTGATAAGACAGTTGCAGCTGCTTGGTGTATAGTCTCATTGTTTTCATCTAACTTTCATGTTACAGAATATACTGTAGGGAAATAGGGCAGCAAGCCTATAGTCCTCTTTCAAAGGAGTGCCAAGGTATGGTAATACATGCAAAGTGTGGCTTGGCAATCCTTACTGACCTAGGGAGGATCTCTTTGATACCGTCCCTTTTGGGTAGTAGCATAGAGTATGTAATACAGTATGATCTAAATTTTTGCTTTAGGTTTTTCTTCAATTTCCAGAAGAGAGTATTGTGGGTATTTTTAACATTACATGCTTTATTCCTCTAAAAGGAGATGAATACACACTGAACCTTTTTGCCTTTAATCTTTCAAATCAATTTGTGTGTGTGTGGGTGTTTGTGTATGTGTGAGTGTGTGTTGACCATCAACAATGTAACATTACTGTAAAAACACAAAGATAATTTTTGTTCAAACTAAAATTTCCTTGTTTTACTTAAAGGGCTCATAAAATGATTATATAGGGTATTTGGGGCTATTCCTTTAGCTCTCTGAATAGGGTGTGTAACATTGGTTGGGCTGAAAATGGCATCTTTGCTGTTCTATATGCCCTATGCCTGGTTAAAAGCCCTAGAATTGAACAACAGGTTTTCTTCCTTTTATGGTATTTTAATGCAGATTTAGATGACCTGTGCGCTGATTGGTTGGTTTACCACAAGCGAAGCTGCTGAGTAAAGACGCATCATAGCAACAAGCATTCACTCACTGAAACATCGAAATTGTTGATATGGTAGGGTGACCAGACGTCCTCTTTTTCCCGGACGTCCTACTTTTCATACCTAAAATAATGTGTGGGGGGAATTTCAAAATCGTCCGGGATTTTGGTCAAGTAAAGTGCAACACGTAGTCGAAACACACAGTGCACTCAAACCGAGCCGTAAGCTCTGGGGCTGGTCCGGGAATTCTGGCGGACAGGGCAGGGGAGTCAGCGGGGACGGAGCGACCAAACCCGGCTGGCTCATTTTCAATAGAGAAACTGCCTGCTTTGTAATTCTTGTAGAAGTTAACCCAACTGTAGGCTAAACAGCTAACTGGTGTCTTACATCTAGCTCTATTTATGTTCTTGAGCCAGTGAACTAGTGAACTGGTCTATATGTCAATTTCGGGGCGTGACAAAAGTACAGCCCAGAACCAAATAAGGCAACATTCCAGAGTTGATGTTAACTCGGGGATTTGTTTGGATTCCTTTTATGGTGGAAGCTTAGAATTGTGAGATTTGAAGAGAAAGGAGCTGTCAATGGGGTTTGAACGTCTCTATACGTCCATTTCACCCACTGAACTATCGTTATTCATCTATGACGATGTAAACTCGGTTTTGCATTCTATGACCCTTTAAGCAGACTGACACCTCGTAGGTGAGCATTGATCCATAAACCTGTAGCCTATTTACCCCGAATGTACTATGGGTCTGAAGTTTTCATGCTGTCTCTGCGAATGTGAAGTCCAGTGCATCCTTCAATATTAAAGCAGCTCTCCCTCTTGTGGACAACAGCTGTATTATCTTGCCTGAAGGAAGACAACATTTCCCATGAGGGCCAGCGCATAGCACAGTAAAATCCTGATGGCCTGCAATTGGATTAAACTATATTTTTGTTTCCAGTGGCTGTGTGATAAAGGAATAGCGATGAGTTAATCTAAATGTTGGGAAACAACATCATATGATGATGCTGAAAATAAGAAATGTTTTACTTTGGTTGTGTACTGTATTCCTGAAAGATGATTGTTCTGAATAAATTATCACTTTTCCTGCTCGAGTCATGAGGAAAACCTCCTCGCTGTCTGGCCACTCTCAGATTTAGCCTCTCTATTATTCAATGAGAAATAGGCTCTGAATCTACATGGCTTCTAATTTTAAACAGTATATGAAGACCATATATGTAAGACTGAATAAATGAATATAATTAACTTAAGTTGCTTGCCTACTTAAATTTGCCAAATTTGTCTGATCCCCCACTGGCAAGCTGCATGCCGTTTGTCCCCCCATCGCTGCATGTACGCCATCACCCTGGGTTACCATTGATTAGGTTACCAATGTGACAGAAATCAGGAATGTAAACAATGGAAAGCAACATATAATGGAGTCAGGGCGTAGTTTGTGCACTTTATTTTTTGCCTCTTTTCTCCAACCAAATCTGCCTTACCAGTGCTATGCCATGTTTATCGAATTCAAGCAGAGTTGTGTTTGCTTATTTTAGCAGAAGCTACTGGCGCAATGTTGCGACGTACATTTGTTGTGCTCAATTGTATCACTTAAATTTGTAGGTCTCCCTGTGTTCAATGTTCCCACTGTATGCCAATCGTAGCCAAGCCATTGGAAGGTGATTTTAGCCTGGGTCGCTCGCCCAGTTGTTTAAAGGGTTGACATGGGTCAGTGAGCCTTTCCCACTTATAATGTTTAATGTTTGATGGTTTTTTGTTTTTTTTTTGGCCTGTGCAAAAGCGGTATTAGATAGAAAAAAAAAAAGAAAAAAACACTCTTTACTTACCTTGCATCAGGCATTTGTTTATTTCATATGGATTAATACCAAGACCGCTATCTTTACTTTGTATCTTTTTAAGAATAGATGGTCTAACCGTCTCTGTAACATGCTCCAGCACATCACACAGCCATAGCTCATGAATAAAAAAATATATCTTGGTGGTGCCATTGGTAATGTTGTTCTAATGAATCACCATCTACCAGTACCCTCTCTATCCTAAGCTTTAACAAAGTCACTCAACATTGGCTCTGTCTTTGGGGAACTATCTGATAGAGGTATATTTGTAACAGTGTTTCTATGTAACAATGAGCCATTGTTACTTGTATATATGCTAAAGTAACAGTTAAACACAGCATCTGGTTTTGTAGATTGGTTTATTTTTGTTGTTTTGGGTGAAGTGGATTCGTTTGGGGTGTGCTTTTTTGGTAGGCCACATCTTGTTTTCATTTTGTAAAAAGGTTAATTTATTTCACTTTACAATATTTTGTTTTTGTTAACGTCTTCCTAAAAGGGAAACGCATGGATTAAAGAGTTAAAATATCAAAAGTCATTGTGAAATACTCACCTCTGCTGTTTCACTCTCCAAGCAGGTGTGCACAGGACTGCACCATCAGAGAATTGAAGGGGGGAGGTTGATCTCATGTATGGTGTTTTCTATATTAAGTTTGAATATTTGTTTGGGTTGAACTGAAATATTTGTTTTTTTGTATTTATTGGTAAAAGTATTTCTTAATTAGCTGTTCATTTAAAACAAATTTTCTTTTTTTTTCTTGTTGTTGTGCAGCTGCATATTCTTTTAAAAATGGTTTCTTCCAATTCAGTTCCACCTCTATATAAGAAACATGTCTGCCAATGTTCTTGTTATTGGTGTTGTTTGCACCAGAAAAAATTAAAGACTTGTTAGCTGAAAACTCTTTGGAGCATGTACTTCTTTCAACTGGTTTGGATCCCACCTCCAAGACTGCTTGGCCTCCTGACAAGCATGTGACAGTTTAAAACCATCCTCTTCATGTTTAGAGACCATACCGCATCCGATTTTAAATCAGTATTAGTATTGGCTGTAAAGTTATTGTTACGTCATCCAGACAAAATGACATTACAGCTCTACTGCTGTGGGGAATAAAGGCAGCAGAGCCATAATGTTGCCTCCATAAGGAGTCGAAACTAGTCTAGAGCTCCCACAAAACTCTAATTAATATGATTGCTTTCCATGTCTGTGTTGCTGTCACTGCAGGCCAGGGTCACTGCTGCTGTGACTCAAAGCAAAGACCACGACACAATTTTAAAATATCATATGTGGGTTAAAGTAGGCTCTGCAATGGGTGAGGTCAGTTTAAAATACAGTCTTGTGAAATCGTAAGGTTTCTTTTGTTTTTGTTCTTTTAATGCTATTAAATATTTCACACCATCAAACACATTGATAATAACACGGGTTGGTGAATGCAGGATAAAATGAAGTTTTTGAATGATGATTTAATTTATTTAAGCAAAGCTAAATGACCCAGTTAAAAAATATATCCTAATAAGTCAATAGTGACTAACCACTTTATTTTTTGAAAGTTACAGTACTTTAACTCTACTAGAACCACGTTTGACTATTATCAGAATTGAACAGTACTTGCTTAAATGGACTTAGACTACAGAAGGTAGGCTGAAAGATCTAAAAAAGTGGCAGTTTCCCATATGTAAACAAATTTAACAGCTTGAGAGAAAATTTGTTTGTTCTGAAGAGTTAAAAAAAAAAATCTAGGGTTCACAAGACTTCAACAGTGGAAGCCATTATTCAGAAATGAAGAAACATAAAACAGTGGTGAGTCTTCCCAGGAAACGAACAGCCTACAAAAATTAGTCCACGTGCATCAATTCAGATGTTACAATAGAGCATAGAAAAAGCTAAATACACCTGGGGCTCACTAGCTGTAAGGTCAGTGTTCATCATTTAACAACAACGAGAACATCCATGGGAGGGTACAAAGATGAAAACCACTGCTGACAAAAAAAACATTAATAATAATAATAATTGAGTATTTGTAAAAAAAAAAAAAAAAAAAACATGTTGATAATCCCCATGCCATGCTTTGCGGAGACAAACGTGAAACTCTTAAAAGGTGTGTTTTTACCTTAGATCTGGCATAAAGGTAGAGCTTTTCAGAATAATATTGGCTCTCTGATGGAGCAAAACATTTCTTTTTTGGGACTGTTTACAAAATATATTTTCTATATAGTCACACCTGATTGTCTTACGGTGATGTCTGAGGCTGCCGTCCCATTACTGGTTCGCAAACTTAAACTCATATGCAAGACAATGATCCAAAGCACAAATCCAAGCTAATTTTTGAATGGACCAAAAGAGAAAAAAAAATCAGTTGGCCTTGTCAAAGTGCATGCCTTTTTTTTTATCGAAATTAAGTTGCAGCTGCATGACCTTAAAAAGACAAGTGGGCAAAAGGTCCTCCACAGCAATATAAAAAGACTCATTACTCTGTACTGTAAATGTTTTGGTGGCAGCGTTGGCAGCCAAGGAGAACAGAACCAGGTCTACTTTCATTTTGATTTATATATTTGAAAATCTTATTAGAAAACAGCCCTTTTATATTTACTCTACCTTTCGTTTGTGTAAAAATATGTCCAATAAGCCAAATCATTTGAATCTGACATAAAATCAGAAACAGAAATCTAGAAGTTAGCTAATACATTTCCACTGCCCTACAGGTGGAGAGCTCAAATAATAAGCTTATATTTCATGAAGACCAGGAGTCTGTAGGATTCAAATTGAGTACAAATTGCACCGACATTGCGAACAAAGGCTATGCTTTCCTCATGTAGATGAATTGCAGCCTTTGTTTACTGTAACAGCCTAGGATTGTTCCTCTCACTTGAGTAATGCAGTTAGGTCACAATTACTACCTCTTTTCTTGTAAACTTCTTGTTATGGGTGTTTAAACCTTTTTTCTAGAAAAAAAATAACTTGCCCCTGGTGATAATAATGGCTTTAGCATCCAACCGATTATGATAAATAGAAAGAAATTATATGTACAGTGAATTTCCTTCAGCTATACTGTGTTTTTCTTCTTCTAATAAACTCTGTTTCAGATTTCTAAAGTTATATATATATATATATATATATATATATATATATAGCTTTAGAAATGATTTATGTTTAAAGCGAGCAAGGTTTCCCAAAACTTGAAGGCCACATTCAGCACTACAAAGCATCTCAAGGTAGAATATGCATTAAATATCTGGATCAATTTGCTGTATTGTTATAACATATTTATATCTGTTTGTTGGTGAGCTTTCGTATCGCAATTTTGTTCATTAAAGTTTGCGAGTCAATGATGCAGAGACTGATAGTTAAGTGGAAAACAGTAAATTAGAGAAGAACAGTAAAAATGGGATGAAAACTCAAAATGTTGTGAGAAAAGCTGCAGAAATAGAACAGAATCAAGTGAAAAACTTATCTCAAAGAGCAGATGGAGGAAGGTTGGGTGAGAGAGACAGAGGCTCTGGATGCGGAAGTGGCTGCTGTGTGGTTAGCCCCATGGGTGTGGCCTTTTTAAACGTTTTTTGCATAACCCTGTCAGAGGTCGCTTTACAAAGGAAAGCACTGTGGGGGATGAGGCATTGGATGTATACCTGGAAACAAACCCTGTGCAGGATGGATATTAAGGTAAGCATCATATTTTGGATTATAGACTAAATATCCAAATGCTCAGGGCTGTTTCTGGGTAAAGCAGAGTTAAAGAAGACTGATGGGGGTTGACAGACAAATGGATGAAGAGACAAACCATGGAGTGAGGGAGAGAGCTGGATGTGACAAACAGGCAGGCGGGTCAGGCCAGGGGAAGTGAGGGACGCTGTTACAGCCCAGGGGTTACAGACCTCTTCTTGACATATGCACTGGAGTAAAATAAGGATTGGCAAGACCTGCTAATCTGAGCTGTCAAAGCTCATGATGTCTGTGGACACTAACCTACCACGCCGTTGCATACCCGAGGGTGAGATGCCACCAGGATAGGTTAAAATCTAAAATATAATTTTCTGCTGGTAAGATCCAAACCTGAGCTATGGCCTAGACCTACACCTGTTAACATCCCAGTTTCTGCTTTACCTTTTTTGAAAGACATACATAATGGAAAGTTTTTGTGTGTTTTTTTCTAACCGAGGCAGTATGTTGAGGGGGAGGAAGAAAACTGCTTACAAACTCAGGGTCTCCATTATGGTAAAAATATTTTCGACACATCTTCTGAAGCAAACTTTTAATTGGTGACAGTTTTGAGACAACGATACAGTAATTCCTCGGTGCTGCAAAGTGCAGCACAGATACATGTGGGAGGATTGTGCCCAAAATATGTCTCCCAAGTCCCTCTTTTGACAAACAAAAACAAGTTTCACACAGCTTGAATTAGAAGTAGGGATCTGTTTTCTGTTGCACTGCATCAGGAGTGTGAGTAATGGTGATTGGGGGCTACAGGAGGAAGAAGAAGGAAGTAGAAATGGCCATGTGGTGCTGAGCTGTAAAGCCCTGGCTTCCTGTTTTGTGAACCTGAAGCACATTTGTCTGATATAATTAATGCAATAATCATTCAGACCGACCTTTTATTACATGCGAGGGATATTTACATAGCACGTTAGCTTTTGCTTTGTACTCGAAGGCTTATTATGACCAACAGGTTAATTAAAAACCATGTTTTTTTAATATATGAGAAAATGTTATATATCTATGTTGTCACCCTTTAGATAGAGCTGAATTTACCTAAATAAAATCATCAATCTAAGTTAACTTACATTCCTTGATTTATTTACTCTACCATTCATCTCTGTTTCACCTTCTTAAGACTTCTTGATGAATCATTTCTATTCCTCTTTCTGCAAAATGTTGTTTCTTTCAGATTTACAAGGCCTCCCTGATATGCCTTCTATTTGTCATATTGAAAGGTGAGTGCTGCAAATCCCCGTGGTACTGAATTTACTCATTGCAAGTTAATATGAGAGGTGGGTTTGAATAAAGAAGCAATTTGCAGCAAATTAATTGCCTGAGACCAAGATGTAAACTTTCTCTGTTTTTAAGTTTTTGTTTTTATGTTTGCAGTGTCCAAAGATTCCATACTCATCTTGATTCAAATTAATTAAACAGTATAGTTATACATATTTATTGGAAGTGCAATACATCTTGCTCAGGAGACAAAACGTTGCATGATGTTGGGTTTAGGAAAGTGATGAGTTATTTCCACATTATTTACAAATAAATACATAATGTTTCATGAACAGTAGGACCTCAAAACAGAATTCATTTTTAAATATACTTCACCATCAACACATTTTTAACTAGAAAACATTTCTTTAAAAAAAAGTTATTTTTCAATGGCAATTATTTTATAAAATAAAGTCTTTAATGGTATAGAATAGAGATGTGGACATTACTTGTACATTAGCCTGTTTAGTATTTTGTTGCATAGTTTTTTTTTAAACCTTAGTATTGCAAACATCTTTAGATCGGTCTAATTATGTCCTTTTATATTTCCTCATATAAACTGATTTTCTATTTTGCTGAACTCTAGATAAAGCTGCTCTGATCCACGTGTTTGTTTTGTTTCACTGAGCAATCTAAGACCGAATGTCTGCCCTAACCCCTCTAACCTCAATCGCTATATAGAGCAGAGACTGTATAGTGGACTGTACAGTACACTCGGTTAACTGACCGTTTAGACATGTGATCACTATTTTTTGCTCCATGTTGCTCACATGACTCTGGTACCTCACATGGTGCCTGCGCCATCTTTGTTCTTTCTCACTCCCAAATGCCACAATGCTTTGCAAGGAGAATTCTTGCAAAGCATTCTGGTATATATCTGCTTATTTAGTGACCATAAATGTATACTACTTTTCAAGATGCACTCAGGGAAATTTTGAGTCCACTACTTTTTTTTTTCCCCAATAGACATTCCTACACTCAAATAAAATGGCATAACCCCTGTACAGTGCTATATATATTGGTCGTGTCACACATTCAGGCACAACCTGTGATGGAAAATCTTTTAGTTAGGACTTTAGCAAACCTATATAGTTTCTGTTTGATGTCACATGACAAAGGAGGCTCTTTGGTAATTTAAAGAAAATATATGTGCAGTTTTTTTAGTTATATTTCTCTCTAGATGAAAATCTACAGCTGGTCTGGATTTTATTTTGTGTCCAGGTTTAACAAGTTTATATGTTGTTGCTGCATTTCAATGTTAGGTGGTTCTAACACTGAGATGCACATTGACCCACATGCAAAATCACAGAGAGAACCAGTGAGTTTTAACATTTTATGTACAAAGCAGCAAGAAGCAGAGAACTTGAGGAAGTCAGTTGAACTTTCTGGTTGGTCTGAAGGAAAAAGCAGACTGATCAGAAAGGAGTTGGTTGATGAAAACTTATGACTGATTGATTTGGTTACTTGTGAGATGAAGGGGAGGTAGCATGGATCTGTAGGGGAATAACCAAACGATACAGATGATCCTTCGCCTCCTTATATGCATGGTAGTCATCTTGACTGAGAAATCTTCTAAGGGGTGCAGCAACACGGGTCGGCCCAGTCACTAGCAAAGATTATCTCTGTGACAGGAAGCTCGCTCAAACCAGAAAAACCCCATAGACCATAACATCTGTTCCCTAAAGAATAAACAGGTTAGGTTTCACAAAAAAGATAACTTGCTAAACAATATTGTCATGTGCAAACCTGATTCTTTGATAAAATGTGAAATTGCTAGGTTCAATGCCAAGGTAAATCTAAGGTACTCTCATTCGTGCAAATTACTGGCACATCTTCTGTAAACCCGTTATCTTTTCACAATGCTCTGTTATTATTTTTTTTCCTGAAATCCAATCTTTTTGGCATAGTCTTTAATACTACCAATTAAATAAGACCTGCCATAAAATTCAGGTCTCAATGTTCTAGGACATCAAAGTAACCCACATTTGCCAAAGAAGACGTCACAGGAGCACACTGTGGTTGTCACCACGCCTCTCAAAAATGTGCCACGATGACGAAAGGGGATGCTGGGCGAGATTTCCCTTGACTTTTTTTTAAAAACGAAACTGTAAATGACTTCTGGCTAGCAATTAGCAAGGATCTTCTCTTGAATAATCTTGTGATATCCTGAAGATTGTCAATTACTGTACATCTCCCTTCGCTGCTTTGCAGGATACATCAAACATTGGCCAAAATCCCTCCTGCAGCATGTGCAAACATGGTGAAAAATGACACATCTTTAATTTCAAACAAATTCCACTGTACCGAATATTAACATTGATTTTCTCAGGTGTTCAAATCGCTATTTGTAGCTGTATCATAGAAATAAATACTGTATTTTCCAAACTAAAGAGCGCAACACTCCGACATTTTTTTTTTAACCTAAGCCGCTGATATCTACCGAGATGTCTCCCACCAAACCTGTAGGGGGAGCTCTACTTAAAGCTCCTAGAGTAGGGACAATGAAAATGCTGGCTCCCATTAGCCTGGTGGTTTGCAGCAGTAAGAGCTTCTTCTGAAAAACAGGGCCTTTTCTGCTCTTTATTTTAGCTCTGCAGAAGTTGAGCCCCGTCTCTTCATTGGTTTGGCAGCTTTAATGTTTGAAATAAAATGTCAAAATATGTGAATTTGGGACATTTGTTTTGCGTCATGCCTTGCTGCAAGAATGTTCTTGTGCTAAATGAAAATTAGCTCCTTGTTCGTTCTTCTCCAACTTTGACTTTCCTGTCTGGTGGTTAGGAAAAATCCACAGAATAGCTGCACCTTCTTATAAGCCCTGTGGGGGAGTACAACTTTGTCTCTACTGTCTTTGGACAGCTCTTTGGTCTTGGCCATGTTAATAGTAGATTCTTACTGATTATATGGGGTGGACAGGTGCTTTCATGCAGCTAACAACCTCAAACAAGTGCATCTAATTTCTGATAATAAATGGGGTGGAGGTGGAGGTTGGCTATGCTCACACAGCAGCCTGAAGTGACCCAAATCCAATTTTTTGCCCATATGCGACCTAGATCTGATCTTCTCCTGACAGTCTGAACAACTCAGATCTGATTTTTTTCCATCCATCCGACCTGAATGTCATTAATACCAGACAGTGGTCACTCTTCTACTTCTTGCTACGCAGACGTGGCAAGAAAAACAAAAACCATGGTGGACAATAATGCAGAGAGCAGTATTTATGTTTAACCTCTGAACATCCACCTCATTTTGGGTAATCCTCGCCTATTTTGCATACCCAAATTGATAAGCAAATAACTTAGGAACTGTAAGTCCAAATTACATGTGCAATACATTATTTGAAAGCTAACACCCTCCATTTTCCTAAATATAAATTAAAATTGGGTGATTAGAACACAGATCAACCTGCAGCAGTTCAAACATGACTTAAAGTTTTTTTTTTATTCTCGGAATGATAGGTAGTTTTTGAACAGCAGTAATAAAGATATTCTTGAGAAAAGGCAGGTTTTATTGTATTATATTTCTTCTACAGTACATCATGTCAACCATGCATGCAGACAATTTCAGACCTCTAGCTATAACAGTTCCAGAGCTGTGCGGATTTGAACTTTTAGTGTCAGCTTGGAGCTGCGCGCAATGGCTCCACCTTCTGGTAAACATTTTACCGGTGGAATTTTGTTTTAAGAGGTTCACAATCTTGGAAAGATTGTGATTTTAAGGTTAGGAAAGATCACTAGATGTTCTCCAGCAATACCATCCATGCTTACTTCCTTAAAGACAGAGCACACTTGCTTGTGACATCATTGCATCCTCTACTGCGTATGCGGAACAATGCAGTTCACACAGGAGATCACATACAAGTCGCATATATTTGGAAATGTGAACAGCAACGCCAAAAAAAATGTAATTGAGCATCAAGGCCTGCAGTGTGAACGTAGCCTTTGAAGGCAGACTAACAGGTCTTTGAGGGTCAGAATTCTAGCTGATAGACAGGTGTTCTAATAGTTATTTGCAGCTGTATCTGTATCATACAAATAAACAGTTAAAAAAATTCATACATTGTGATTTCTGGATTTTTTTGTTTTTTTTTAGATTATGTCTCTCACAGTGTACATGCACCTACAATGACAATTTCAGACCCCTCCATGATTTCTAAGCGGGAGAACTTGCAAAATAGCAGGGTGTTCAAATACTTTTTTTTCCTCACTGTAGCTTTTTGTGTGAAACCATTTACAATGACCATTTTGGAGAATCTTTCAACAATTGTGAGTATAATTGTGAAACCATGGGATGAGAACAAACCCACAATAAAAATAGGGATAGCGCTGGCAATAAAAACCAAATAAAGACAGGATCCATGAAGATTAGTTTTTCCTTGAGACCAGAATTACAACCAGCCCACCACTTGAGAAAATTGTAACACATTACTTGACACTGTACTTGGTATTCTTAAAGGATCAGGTAAGTTTGCAATTGACCCCTCCCTCCATGGAAACAAACTCTCTCCTCTGACGGGAGGCTGCAGTCCATCCGACCAGACCCTCCCACCCCGAAAACAGCATCTCCCCTTCTGCATTAGTTTCATTAACAAGACCTGGGTCCCTTAGGCTTTCTCCGTTTACCAATAAAGGAGAAAATAAATTGAATAATAACAATTGTAACTGCATACTTTGTAATCTTATCTGATTTTAGTTTTTATTTTCAATGTCTGCCACTGTACTCTTGCAATTGTTTCTTCCAAATTATATATATCGACATATCATTTTTTTCAACTCTTTGTTTTTGTGCTTGCAGCACCTTATCATGATAGCAAGTTGTTCTCATGTGTGGACACTACATGACAATAAATATCTTTCTGATTCTAATCATGATCCAATGAGTATGAAATGCTGTAAGGCTACAGTATACACAGCAATGGAGCTAAAAGCACTGCATCCAAAGCTAGAAGCTAAATATACAGTAATCTCACAGTTAAGGCATTGCCAGGCTGCTAATCATGAAAACATACAAACAACATATTGGATACATTTGAATAAGAAAAAAACATAGCCAAATACATAGTTCATTCATCCTATTTTTGCATTTGGCAAAATGATGTAAAGATTTTGTGAAACTTCATGACTAATGTGAAGGTACTGAGTGGGAGCACAGACAATAGGCTGCTCTGTCCTGTGGTCTCACTCAACAATCTGACTGTGTTGTAGCTAGAGATTGCCTCACAGCCCCATTCACTGACAGGACTACCACTGTGACATGCTCAGTGCATCTGCAAGCCTCCCTCCACTTCATATTCTGAGGTCTGGCCTCTGCCAAGAAATACGTGACAGCATGGTCAGAGAAACTCATAAACAACACAGTGCTTTGTTCTTTCTGTAAATGTGTACTGTTTCATTTGAGTCTTTTTTCTAAGTTTGGTGATTAAAAATGCATCTATTTTTTCTACAGAGTCGTGGGCAAAGACTGCCATTCCCACAGATCATAGGACGGCTCCCAGTACCGCTACCACTCCCACTGGTAGGACACTTGTTTTGGACTGTCTCTATCAACTGCACCCTATACAATTGGTAGGAAACTTAATGAAGATTAAAATAGAGGGTTCAAAACCTGAGCCACAGTAATAAAGAGGCTGAAATCTTCCAGCCATTTCCTAACTGATTACAATCATATCATGTAAGACCTAATCTACCAGTGTTTTCTATTGTCTATTTAAATTTTAAGGATCTGTGATAAAAACAAAAAAAACAAATACATCTTCATTGTCAAGAATTTATATCTATACTCCAGGGAAACAACAAGTCCTAAACTAATGTTTAAAAGTTCATAAGCAGGGAGTGGCAGCCTAGCGATTAGGGCATAGAGCTTGGAATCCTGAGATTGTGAGTTCGAAACCCGGTCCTACAGTCTGCCACTCTCGGTCTCCGAACATGGCCCTTAACCCCAGATTGCTCCCTGGGCATCCCACAATAGCTGCCCACTGCTCCCCATTGGGATGGGTTAAATGCAGAGGTAATATACTCCAATGTGAGATCAATAAAGTTCAATTATGATTATTATGATAAGACATACATGTATATGGAGGACCAACTTTGCCATATTTAAAAATACAGAAATAAATAAATGCTCAATAAATAAATAAGCATACAATGAATTGCCCCCCAAAATACAATAAAGAAAGAAAGGAAGGTAGAAATTGAATAATACAGTGAGACATAAATGTATTTATCTCTTTTAATTAGCTTCTTTATTTGTCTTTGTAATCATTTCCATGTGATAATATTTTGTCTGTTCTATTCTTCCTTTGTATTTATTCACCATCTTTATTTCTGCCTGTTGTTTTTACATTTCTCTATGCATTTCTGCCTCAGTATGCAAATGAAAAAGAGGTGTGTCTTAGATTTGGGGGCAATTAATTGTATGCTTATTTCTTAAGCATTTATTTATTTATTTTTAAATATATTAGTGTTGGTCCTCAATACATGTAGATATATATGTAATTCTGCACTCTTTCTTGTCAGTATAAGATTTTTACCATTCATAAACTTCTTCAAATTTTAGTGGGATTTCATTTAAAATGCTGAAAAATAAAAGCTAAAATAATAGTTCTTGATCTCAGTGTCACAAATTCAACCTGAACCATGTGCCATGAGGTTGTATATTTTTGTCCCATTTACTTTAATACTGGGAAACAAATCTACTGAGTCAAAAGCTATAACAAAAAGTTTGCTTTAAAGGATCTATTTCAACTTAAATCCTTCTTCCCATTTGTTACCAGCTTAGAAAGTAGAGTTATTTTGTTTCCCAAAAAGTTAACAACAGGAGCATATGACTGATGCATGTGCCAAAAAAGGCAAAATACAAATACAAAGATTTTTACTTAAGTTTATTTAACATTTAAAAAAAAATTCTTTTTAATTTTTTAAAAAGATAAACAGGCATTTGGGTCTTGAGGAATACCTCTATTGCAACTGTCCTGTTTATTTTGTTTTTCTGTTTTTTAAGATTTAACTGTTCTCTCTATATATAAGCAACCGGGTTTGTGTTAATTCTAAATACTAATTAGATTTTTGTGTGTGTGTGTGTGTAGTAGCTGAAAGCACAGCAACCACAGTTGCTAACTCCACCCCGGGAAATTTCTTAGAGCAAACCACAAACTGGCACAGCACCAAGACCAATTCAGTCAACTCCACTGCATCAGAAATAAGAACAACAGGTAGTATGGCATGGGCTGTGGCATTTTTGAAATACAAACCACGCTCAGAATGTCTGCATTACTGATGTTTTGTTGTAATTCTATTTAGCTTTCACTGAGAAGTCGACAAAGATTCAAACCAATCCTGCATCTACTCCAGGTAACAACTTCTTTAATCTTTTCAGTAAAAAGTTTAAACAGCAACAAGAGCCACTGAGTTTAATCAAAAACTGAATTATGCACTAAAAAGAATTTAGGACCTTATACAAAAAATAAAATTAAAATGTATTTTTTTAAATGATAATTTACCTGTGCATATATACATGTTTCTTTTTCCTAATGTGTTTTTTTAGTTACTCACTGGCCAGAATAATGTACTATAGTAACAATTCTAACAGGGTGAGCATTAAAACGTTTCTTTAGATGTTTTTTGTTAAACTTGCTTCGGTAAAATATTCAATATTTATTTGGAAAATTAGTTAGACATAGAGAAGCATCTGGGCTCTAATTTTGAATGATTATTTTGTGATGTTGCAAATATCAGGTATATATGATAATGATCAGATTTTTTAAATTCTTTTCACCCCCTACAGCGTCATCTACCAGAATGCCACAAAACCCTAAAGCTGTTGTCTGGGGTAACTAGAATTCCTTTCTACATGATAGTTACCTTTACCTGCCATGGCCATGTAATCATCTGATCCTTTGACTTAAGGACACTATTACAATACCCTGTCGTCTAAGTAAAACCCACAGATGGCATGGCCGAATAGAGCATGTTACGGCACAGTGAGCTGTGAACTTTTAAACCCTGTGGTTCCGTCATACAGTTTGAGCTGTAGCTGGGTGCAGCAATTGAAAATATCGCACAGTGTATGCATGGCTTAAAGATTAATACTTGATTGTACCTTCTGAAAAAGCAGATGAGACACTTGTGCCCTTGTGCCAGCTTACTGTAGATAAGATTTTGATAGACCGAACAGAATGTCACACAACCAAGTAGATCTGTTGTGACATTGCTGACAGTTGCTCCCTATCTTTTAAGCAGTACAACCAAATCCAAATGCCTTTTTCTTTATTTTTTGGTGTCATATAGATCCAAAGTGGGACAAACCATTCACCTATGGTAAGAAACTAATTGTTTGTTCTTTTTGGTATTTTTTTCTAAAAGTACTTGTAAATTTGTATGAATGGGACTTTGAAATATTTACCTCACCTCTTTAGACTATGAATCTCTGCGATATGCTGGCTTAATAATTGCTGGTGTACTTTTCGTTATGGGGATTATGATCATTGGCTGTAAGTTTTTATTTTTTTCTCTTCAATAATCTCTACTGACAGTAATGAAGATTCTAAATACATTGTTTTTTCTTTAACTACAGGTGGCAAGGTCTGTCGGCTGCCCAAGTGTCACAAGAAGTCATCAAAGTCAGTATTTACATCCAGAACCTTTACTTAGGGTTAAATTAAACACATCTGCAACTATGAAAGTCTTTGTAAAAGTAAAACTGTTAGAAAGGAGCAGCCAAGTATTACCCTAAGCATGAGTTGCTAAAAGATTTCTAACTATGAACAAAGCCTTATATTCACTGAAAAAGAGTGAAGCAAAAAGTTCTCGTACTTGTCATCTTCCAATTAGGCAGCATCAGATTGCGGGGACAGCAGTCACAGCAGAGACTCCCAAACTTTCCTCTCCCCAGACACCCTCCCCAGCTCTGCAGGGGGAGGCCAGAGGTGCTCCAGGGTACCCGAGAGACCTAGTCCCTCCAGTGTGTCCTGGTTCGTCCCCTGGGCTCCCACCTGGTGGGATGTGTCTGGAACACCTCTTGAGGGAGGTGTCCAAGGATAATCAGAACCACCTCAGCTGACTCCTCTCAATGTAGAGGAGAAGTTGCACTACTCTGATCCTCTCTGGATGACCTTCTCCATAAGATAGAGAAGCACCCTGTGGAGAAAGCTAATTTCAGCCACCTGTATTTGGGATATTGTTCTTTCAGTCATGATCCAGATTTCATGAATATGTGTGAGGATAGGAACGTAGACCAACCAATAGAGCTAGCTTTGCATTTCAGCTCAGCTCCCTCTTCACCACAAAAGACTGGTGAAGTGTCCCCATTACAGTAGCAGCTGCACCGATTCATCTAATGATCTTCCACTCCATTCTTTCCTTACTCGTAAATAGGACCTTAAGATAATGATTCCACTCAAGGCAGGAATTGTCCTCTAACCTGAAGTCGGCAATGAACCTGCTTCCGGTTGAGAACAAAGCATGTGAACGAAGCAGAGTGTGGAGCCAGTGGTGTAGCTCTGGTGATATAAAAATGTTGGATTATAAATTCTGTAAATAACATTTACTTGATTTTAGTGTGACATTTTTCAACATGTTTGACCACATGACCGCATGTCCCAGCAGCACCGAGTGTGACGAGTAGGTGGATATGCCTGCACTGTCGCAGATCGAAGTGGTTGCGATTACAGCCAATGCAGAATACATGATAAACACTGACTTCACTGGCTCAAGTTTACATTTGAGATGCCCTATCCATCTGCTTCAGCTGGCGATAAAAGATGGCGAGATGAGGATTGCATATTGTGTGATCAAATGGATCGCATACATGCATTATACGCTATTATCTCATTTGCAGTGGGATGCGAAGTTAACTTTATTATTGTAGTCTCTTAAAAAAAATTGGCAACATGAATGGAGCGAGGTGCTATGTTTACAGCTGGGAAACAGTGTGATAATTTAACAGCCAGTTAAATAAGACAATACACATGTATGGGTCACATCATTAAATCAAACGCCATGTGTCCCAGGGCCCTGGCATAATTACATGATGGAAAAATGTTAGAAAAAGCCTTTGAGAGAGCTTGGAGCGATTTCGCCGCAGCGGCAGGAAAATTAAGATGAACGCGGAGCTTCCTGGTGCAACTTTGATCGTTGGAGCGAATGAGCGAACATCCTCCTGAGGGGACTGGGAATTGTGCGGTTCTCCGCTCCATTCACATGCAATGGTTGAGAACCATTGCCTCAAACTTGGAGTAGCTGGTTCTCACCAAGCCTTTTTAACACTGCTGCAAACCACTCAAATCAGACCCTCCTGTTCATAAACGTTATAAAAAGGACAGATGACAAGGGGAGCTTGCTGTAGTCTAACATGCACTGGGAAAGGCCCGACTTGATACCAGCAATGCAAACCAAACACCTGTTCCACTTCTACAGAGACTGTCTGGCCCCTAGTAAATGGCCCTAGACTCCAGGCTCCTGGAGCACCCCTAAAAGGCACCAAAAGGGACAATGTTGAATGCCGTCTACAAAACATATGTGTATACCAGTTGATCATACTCCTATGAACCTTTGAGCACCAGAGGGTGTAGAGTTGGTCCAGTGTTCCATGGCCTGGGCAAACCCACACTGCTCCTCCTGAGGCCAAGGTTCAACAATCAGTCTCTCCTCAGTACCCTGGCATAGGCCTTCCCAATTAGGCTGAGAATGGTGATCCACTATAGTTGGAAAACATGCTTTGGTCCCCCTTACTCTGGAGGGGGAGGCACTTCCATTTGCCCATCCTTGAGTAGCCATCTTAACATGGTGGGGGTGTTAGAACCAGGATGATCCCAGAGGCTTTCTTGTTGGGGGTTTAAATACATCTGATATGTTCTCCAAACATTAACAGTTTCTGAGTGACTGTTCAGACAAAGTAAAGTTCAAAAAGTCCTTAAGACGACAAGAAAAACCAAGGCACATTGCTTGGTATATGGAGGCGGAAAATGCACCTTGGATCTAGGACTGGGGTTAGGGTTTGTCAGCTAGTGTCTTTGGGTAAGGTTTCTTTTTTCGGAACCCGGCCAGCCCAAGCTGTGATTGTGTCTCAATCTCCCAGTGGGTCACCATCTGCAAGGGAACCATGATGGACCGTTGCCAAGAGCACTGGACTGCAGTTACAAGCAGGTCTTGGCAACCAGATCCACGGAAAAGAGTCAAAGAACATGATTAACCTCCTTATAACAAAAGAAAAACAGCAACATTTGTTCATACTCTTGTTCAAATCAGGCCAGTCTCAACAGTGGTTGCAACTAGCCTGATTTGGCCAGACACTTACAGCTCGGAACGCAAGAATTTACCATGAGTGACTCTCTACCAGAAATACTGATAATGCAGCAGCATTCATATGCTAGAACAAAAACAAGCTGGCAACTGCAACGGAGCAATGTTGTAATGAAACATTAGAACATAACAGAGAGCACACTTTATTTCCTCAGATTGTTTTAGGCAAAACCAGTACAAATTATTCACTGGAGCATTTCTTTGATAGCTTGTCATGACTACAAATGACAAAAACAGAGTGTTTTTTTTTTTTTGTGTGTGTCACATCTGTAGTTATCCGATTGGTTCTAACCTGATGACGCTGACTCTGCTAGTACCTTCTTCCAAATGGAGCAGTAGTAGCTCTTTATCAGACTACATTGCATGTCATATTAGTCTGTCTTACCAGGCTAGTTAACACCTTAAGAAATGCAGAAACGAAGTACTCAACAGTAGTACTTGAGTTAAAGTTGATACTCACAGTCAAATCTTACTCAACTACAGTAAAAGTTACTCGGCCAATAATCTACTCTAGTTTAGGTATTACAGTACTCACTTTTGAAAATACTTAACTTTTTAAAAATACATGGATTAAAAAGTAAATGTTCTAAAATTTGTACATTTCTGTAGAATTTTCATTGTAATATTAAAGAACATTGTAACTTTCAGAAACCACCGCTTGTATTGATGCATTGAAACACTGCTACAAATGCTAAACCTCAGCATAAAAATGCCATTAAAAATAACAGCTATTTTGATTATCATTTCTTATTTCACTATGGAATAGAGGTTTAAGGTTGAATCTATTACCACAGAAAAACTGTAACTCTGATTTGAGAATTCATCTTATTGAACAACTTGGCCACATGGCAACAACTCATGACTCACTACAGATAATATCTGCCCTGAGTTTCTTATATCTATGCAACGTCATGCAAGTCTCTAAAACTGTGGTGCCCAAATTCAGTCTAGGGCTTCTGTCTTACATGTTAAAATTGCACTTCAAGACAAAAAAAAAAACTCAAATAGTGGATTAAAAAGCAAACCTGAGCCAAAATGAACAAGAAATGAATTAAAGTAAAGATACTCAAAAAAGTACTTAAGTACAGTAATCAAGTACAGGTAGTGCTTTATTACTTTCCACCACTGAAATGTTTGCCCTTGCACAGAACCTGTAGACACACCTAAGCACTTCACACTTTTTTTTTTTTTAAGTAGTTTAAGTAAAGAGTGTTTACAGTCTACTCTATGTTTGGTATTGACTGTCTTTTTTTTATAACCTGGTTTCTTTAACATTACAACTGTGATGTCACTGAAACTCAATGACCCATCTTAGAGGACAAGCAACAAGCAAAAAAAATCTCATAAATATCAGACCAGAAGAGGAGAGTAGCACTTTCAGGTGTTCTGTTTACTAAGGGTAGTTTAAAAATAGAGGTTCAAAAATGTCAAAGGACCACACTAATACCAGATAAAACCTCATGTTAAGCGAAAGAAAGAAACATTAGTAGGTTTAGACTCCAATAAAACAATCGAAAGTTTCAACAGAAAAAAAAATAACGGTACAAAAGGTTGACCAAATAAAAAGTTATGTTTGTTAAATGAACTGCAAACCGTGGGAATGGAACGATGGATGACTTTTTTTAGCACAGTTAAAACACCACCTTTGCATAACCTTGGTAAAGGCATAACCAGATGAGGACTACTTCTCACATAAGAGGATTTAGTAATTGAGTAATTGGAGGATTTAATTAACACCAACAAAGTTATTCACATGATATAACGATATTACAGACCTGCATTCTAAATAACAGCCCACAAGAATCCAGCGGATATCTCTGCGGATATCTATGCATCAAAAGGTTCTAATCAACTGTTCAGAGGCCAAAACACAATGACTTAGCCACTGCATATCGTATTTCTTTAACTCAAATGTCAGCAGTTGCTGTGGACAGCATTTTCAGCCATTATTTGTTTTTCATTTCAGGTCATATCGTGTGGTGCAAGGATAAGCAAACGTGCAAACATTGGCAGCCATGGAAAGGTTCAAGAAATTACGCAGATCTCTGTGCATTCGGGGGAAAAATACTCTGCTAACACCTGGCAACATGTTTGTGCGTGGAGAGACAGACAACGTGCTGCTTGGTTACCGTCGTGGGAGTTTGAGTAAACAAATCTTGATGCAAACTATTAAGTGGAAAAACTGGAACCTGTTGCCTCTGTAAAACAAAACTGCACTGGAATGTAATTTAATTTTTAATAAAATAAAAGCTCCATTTTAGTTCATAGAAGCTGTTATAAAACTAGACTTATTCTAGTGGTATGTTGTTTTGAAAACGTTTATAACTAAAAGTCAAAAGCAATAAACACATTTACAGACTTAAGAATCGCAACTACTCTTTACACATGAGAATTATGAATGAAGCGTACACATGAAAATAAAAATAATTTTTTTTTTTTTTTAAGTTTCGAAGCTGAACTTTAAAAAAGTATGTATGTTATATGAGAAAAGTCTTATTATAAACAATCACTGGCACAATATCATTGCATACATATGGTATTTCAATTACACAAACAACAGATTAAGTTTTATAGCACATTTAATGTCAAAATATGGACAAAAATCCCACCATAGATTTATATATTTACATAATTTTCCCCATTCTAATCGCCATTAGAACTAATAAAAGGTGTCTTTGTCTGTGCAAATTGATGATGGTATTTTTGGAAGATATTAACACATCAATTACTAGTTCTGAAAATTACATGAATACCTCATTAAATGTCTTTGGCATAGAAATACATATAAAAAAGTGCAGCGTTGATTTAAACTTATTGCTATAATAAAACATGAATACATATTTTACAGACTTTTGCAATCATCAGAATTCCTCACAAAAGATAACCCTTAAGCCATTTTTATTACTTTGAAAAATACAAGTTTTACTTAGTAAATATATTCTACTTAAACTTAACTCATGACCTCCATGCTTTTATCGTTGAATACTCAAGCACTTCTCAAATTTGCATTAACCAATGATTTCTAACATGACTGCAAAATGGGTTACAAACATTAAAAGGTGTTTAAAACTTTTTTCCTAGATAAACTGCAGCAACAACCATAACGGGTTAGATTAAATGCATAACAGACAAGTTTAAATGACTGAGATTCCCACTTGAATAATAGCGAAAAAGCTTAAATGCTACATGTATTGCATTATGTTAAACAGTAGTGTCACAACAGGGCAGCTCTCCAAAGAGGGAATATTAGCAAGGCATGCAGATGCATGTGAACAGAAACTCTTTTCTGCAATTTGGAGAAGAAGAAAAAAAGAAATACCTTCAAATAATATAATGAAATAAAACCAGGAAACAGAATAATTCATGCAGAGGGAAAAAAATGAAATGTTCTTTACTCTAGTTTATATATGAAATGCTGACACATTAAGGCTGCAATCAGAAATAGATCACTACGATACGATCAAATATAAACTGTTTAAAGTCAGATAATTTGCCCGGTACTAATTTATAAGTATGGGTTTTTTTAAGCTGATGCCTGAAAGCAGAAACTGCACATCTCGTGAGCCAAGCTGTGTTTCTTGTCAAGATTTAGTGGAAAGAAGATTTTGCTTCAACGCATCAGGTTTCTGAAAGCTGGGAGTTATCCCACTCTACCTGAAACATTTTCTGACATAGGCCTTCAGTTTTAAATCTATGTTTAGAAAGCTTTCCTGCACATAGTGTGATTGGTGTCATGTGAGTGAAACCAGCACCCTCTATTATTAAAAAAAAAAAAAAAAAAAAAACATTGGTTGCAATTCCCCAGCCATCTCAACTCAACTGTATTATTCCCCCCTCCCTCTTACTGAGCCTTCTGCCTTTAGTGCTAGATGCATTGCTCTAACACTGAGCAGGTTCCTGAAAGTTATTTACAACGCACAAGAATAACAGATTTTTTACAAAAAAAAAAAAAGTAGAACAAACAAAAACATCATTCATATTGGCTGATTATTTAGCATCTTAGCTGCAAGGTGTGCTTAACTTGTGTATCCACTTATTTTTATTTGACACAGCTGAAAAAAAGATGAAGAGCTGGTTTTGCCTTTCAGTAAAGGTAAATAAGTAAATAAGTGAGCATTCTGCTGGCTTAGTGCGGATTAGCATGGTTTGTCACAGTCAACGATCATTTGAGAGGCGGGTTTGCTCCACACGCACCAAGTCAAAACACAATTACAGTTTTTCTGCTTAACTGGTCAATCTATTTATGCTTCTAAAAAAAAAAAAAAAAGCTTTAGCTATGCTAGATTAATAATTTTAACACAAAGAAGCTGCAAGCCACATTCTCTGCTCTAATTTGGATTCTTCAAACAACATCCAATTAAAAAGGTTTGAATGTGTTCCAAAAAATCCCTGGCTAAATGGAGAACAAACAGCTGGGAGACAGAGAAAACATGGCACAACAGTGTGAAGAGAAGTCATACTGCATAGGTTAGATAGGCTTATGAGGACGTGAGAGACTGGGCAGTGAAAAGCAAGCCAACGTGCAAATGTGTTCAAATGTCCTGAGTCAGTGTTGGAGAAAACAGCCTGTTCTCCTCACTTGGCTATTTGGTGCAGAACTGCTGTGCTGTCGGGAATTAGATGGTTTCTTTCTGGTTCTGTTCAGTGGGTACGGAGTAAATCCTGTAAATGGGACACAGCAAGCATAATTACTTGACACAGGGCAAAATAAACTTGAATATCATTTAAAAGGTAGTTTAATTCAATTCAGCAATTGAAACTTTTATAGATTAATAGAAACATTACACATTTTGTTTTCCTGTTTATCTAGATGATTCAGGGTGAAAGATAATCAAACCTAACCTCAAGATAAAGAAAAACAAAAAAAAAAAACAGTAGAAGTGTTCTCCAATCATGGGAAGGATTACTGACTATAGCTGTCCATCAGTCACTTACTGGCACCTTCCTTAATGGAGGGTGACCACAAACATAATTTTTAGTAAGCCGGCGGTTCAGATCATTATCTTCTAAGTATGTGAATGGGAAAAGAGGTGCATAACCACAACTTTTAAGAGCAACAGTTTAAGGAAGATAGACAAAGCATATGTGGCTAGTTGCCATGCTAAAAGAGCAACCACACAGTGCGATTTTCTCAAACAATTTTTTGTCTTAAAAAAGAAAAGCTGGTGATCAAACACCTAACTGCACCCACAGTTAGATCACAAGGAGTTCAGATCTATTCAAGCAAACAGAGCTTGAACCTTTTGTGGAAACTCTCAGAATTGTGACTGACGGCGGTTGAAACAGACACAGCAATAGATGTCAGAAACACATAACGTTACAATTTGGACAGTCTATTATTCTGTGCGATTCCCCACAAAACTATAGATTCAAAGTAGCAGCTGCATTTAGCTGCTCGTGTTTACGTAGGGCTCAGGCAGTCATAAAGAGGCGCTCTGGGACAAATGACTCATTCAGTGACGGACCCAACCCTCTCAAGTTACTAAAGGTGAGTTTTAAAGAACTGCAGTCTGCATGAAGCAACAATAGAGGCCAATATCTACTGTATAGTGAACAAAAAATGACTTTATACATTTCAAAGAAATTGTATACTTTGGTCAGACAATATTGCCTAAAGTATGATAAACAGGTTTGGAAGAAATTTAACTGAAACAGCAATTTCAAAAATCAATTACTATTGTACTTGTTCAAAAAATTCTAACCATTTGTATGATTTCAATAAATTCATAAGTTAGTCAGGTACTTCATGGACTAAAATAAGTTCATATATAATTTACCTACATTTCCCATGCCCCCCCCCCTTTTTTTGAATTATTTAAGAGATTGTTTTATATGGCAAGTACCCCCCCCCCCCCCCCCCCCCCCATCTCAAACATATGAGACAGGTACATACAATTCTTTTTTTAATTTGGCTAGCAGCCCCTGCTATATCTCAACATTTCTCATATTTGTCATCATTAAAAAATCATTTGCATTTGGACCATTTATGAGCTTCAGCTTAAAAGTTCAATATGTTTATCTGTGGCTGAAGTCAGGCTTGGTGAAAACCCAACCTTTCAAGTGAAGTGAGCCATCGATGACTGAAGCAGAAGTTTCACAACTGGGGTTCGGTGGAGAAATTGACAAAGGATTTCATTTTTTGTTTCTAAATCATGTCTTACCCAAGAATGAGTCAGTTAACCCACCTGACCTGAACTCCATGGAAAATCTATGAAGATGACCCCAGATCCCACAGTGCAGATTTCAAAGAAGTTGACTTTTTTGATTAAATAAAATTAGCTTTTCTATGATATTGTAATTTATTGAGATGCTTTGTAAAGTACACATTTTTTCTATTCCATTATAAAGTAGAATTAAAAAGAAGTTTCAAAATGAATGACTGATCTGAACACTGAAAACTGCACTGGTGCCTCATATTGCAGGGATTCTAACCTCAAAATGGTTGCTGCATAACCTAAACAACACAGCTCATCCCCCAGGTGAGACTTATAAAAGAGGCTGAAAACTGTTGATCCAACAAACCAGAGGTTGCTGCATGATTAAGCCTCCTTTCAATGGAGCAATCATTCAGCACCAAACACAGCTTGAGCTGGCTGCAGCTCCTCGAGGCAGCCACTAATCCTGTACAGGAATTTAACCCTAGCATGCTAATCGAATTTAGTGTCATTACTGTAATGGATGTTCTCCTGTTGTCTGAATTTGAACTCTACAACCCCTGTGACCAGAGTCATGCATTTTATATGTCACCAGACAAACAAATAAAATTCAGTCTGCAAGAACTTAAAATTGAAAATGACAGTTAAGCAGCAGCCAAAAACTTGGAGCGACATTTTGCAAAACTGGTTTAGGTTGTTTTGCTGTAAGATTTCCACTGACTGCTGTCAAAACTTTGTTTACTGGGTTTATTTATTCTGTACAGTTGTCTCCTTGTGACTAAGAGTGTGAGGTAAGCTTTGGGACAGGTTGGGTCCTGTCATGATAGGTCATACCTTACCAGTGCCACCGGCTGAGAGCCATTGTTTGACAGATAGGTGGGGAGTTTTTAACCCCGGTCTATAGAGGGCACAAGCTGCAACACTAATTGTTGTACAAGTCCAGACGGGCTGAAGTAGGTGGATGCAGATGGTGCGATCATGCATGACTGTTCTTCGTGGTTTTTTGGATGTTGACAATGCAGACCAAGTGTAGCACAACGTAAAAGCAGTAGCGTGGCTGTTACTCAACAGACAGGTTTTGTCACTCTGAAGCTGACTTAGCATGAAGTTCACCCAAAAACCAAAACCAGTGTTGCTTCATGAGAGTAGAAAACAATGAATAAATTGGAATAAAAGGTAAATTGATCTTACCCTTGCTGTTGTTTGAGCTTTTGCCGTTTCATCAAGAATACAGCTGCAAATAGGGAAATAAAAAAAAGGAGGGGAGGGGGTGAAAGGTCATGGTTCAGTCAGAGAAAAGTTGATATTTATTTAGGTGGCAACAGCTTTACAAGGCACACAAGGAGCACAGTGATTCCAGGCAAGTGCTGAAAGGCAATACATCTGTCAACTGTGGGAATGTTCCCATTTCACTCTTAACAAAACAAAGGCCGCTTACCTCCTATTGCTATGACTGAAAGAGCCACCGCCGTACCAAGAACAGCTATGATGATCAGAGTCATTTGACCTACAAAAATAGAAGAAACAAACATATTTGAAGTCCTGCACAAAGAGTCAGCTCAATAAAAAAAGTGAACACATATATATGTAGTAACTGCACAAATAAATTTTCAAACTCAGAATTGTATTTTCTTCACAAAGAGACTTAGAAAAATGACAATATTGAATAAAAAAAATGTCCAACGCCTAACAGATAAAGATTGTACATTTAAAAATTTCATCAACACCTATTTATTGCATGCCATACAACAAAAAACAAAACAAGCCTAGTTATTCTTACAATATACTGTTTGAACCCCGACAAAATTTTGAATTTTCCTATTTGTCTTCATGTTTTACAATCTTTGTTATGCTATGCTTGCTATTTTGACTACTGAGACTTCCCTTTTTGTAAGACAGGACATATCACCTGGGATTTAAGGGGAACCATTTCTGGGGTTTTTGAAGATGAAGTTTTCCATTTGTTG